TAAAGCGCAATATGAGATGTCATTAATACCTTAGCTGAAAGAAATCTGATGCACAGGAGAATTGATGGCAGGATTATCAAAAACTTAGGATACTGCTTAGACAAACTCGGAGAACAGGGAAGAGCAGAATTAACAAAAATAATTGTTGAGCGTACTTCCATTTAGAGTGAGTGTCGAGTGAATTGATTCGAAGGTAGTAAGCTCAAAAATTATGAAACAATAGAGTCCTCAAAACCCAACTTTTCTTCGCATATATTACGTACGTATGGTATGAATTCTTATCAACTTTCTTTGGCCATACGAAAATCAAGAAATCTATATCTCGGCAGGTCAATACTATAAGATTTTTAAAAATTTGTATTTCACATAATGCAATTCCTAGATGTTGTATTCTTGGTAGACGTCCGGATTTACCTATTTCCACTAATAGGAAACTGGAGCATGTAACAGATGGTTTGGTTAAGACTAGACTCAAAGAAAGTATAAACAAATAAAATGACTTGATTAGAACTAAAACAAGGACTAGACTATAACTTTCTCAGCTATTTTCTCAAGAAGAATATATAAAATTGCAGAAAATGGCGGAAGGTTTAGCGGATATAATGGATAAGTTTAATAGATCCCGACGTGATAAGAAATTAAGGAATTTAATCATTAACATCAGCCAGAGAAATCGTCGAAACAATAAGGAGGTAATTAAATTTAGTACTATTTTTTCAAGCAAAAATAGTGATTAATTTATCGAGTATATCTATAGATGCTAATGTTACGCTCGTCTTGGAAAGGGGTTTAAACTTTGCATTTCCAAATGAGCAAGATCATTCTATGGATATACTGGTTGAGTTAATTAACGGATAAGCTGCCAGAAGAAGCTATAAATAGTAAGAAAGACAATTGATTCCTTATTTTAATGAAGTAATTATTCCAAAGAAATCGTATAATTTAAATAAGGTTTCTATATATTTGCACCAAAATGATCTGTTTGTTTTGAAGGCAGATAAACGTGGTGCAGTGATCATCATGGATAGGTTAAGTTATATAGAAAAAATGATGGTTCATTTAAGTGACTCATTAACTTACAGACTTTTACTGAAGGATCCCACAGAAAATCTTAAGACCAGACTAAGGGAATCGCTTAACGTTTGTGTAAGCAGAGGATAAATTGAGAAGTGTAAAATGAATTCACTTCTTCAGAGGGATGCTAGAGCACCTTCGGCTTACGGCCTTCCAAAATTACACAAGGAGTTGATTGCAAATAACAAGAGTACTGTGATGCATAGGATCTCGCGTTTATCATGTAGAAAACTAAGGAAATTAGCTGAATATTGGAAATATTCTGTGAAGAATTCATATGAATTTACTAGATTAATACATCAACAGAGTATTTAAGAGGAGGACCTTTTGGTTAGTT